AGCTGTGATGGCTGCTCCGTAGGCGGCTGCGGGACCGGCTGCGGAGGTGGCTGCTGTGGAGGCTGCTGCATGGGCGGTTGTGGATCGGACATTTCCGTGTGCTGCCCCACGTTGGGCGCCAGTGTAGCAAGCCGTGCTACAGACGGGGTTCCCCAGCACACAAAACTCCCGGACCAGACTGTCGGTTCACGCAACTCTTTATTTGAGGCACAAAATGCAGCTGTACCGCTGCGGCAGCTTCCGCCCAGAGGCCTGTCTTTCGGCGTGTGTCTCTCCCGGATCCAGCACACTACTGCCAAGATAAAAGGTAGAGTCATCAGACAATCATTGGCAGGTGAGGTAATCAACTCACCTGGTGCCACTCTCCCAGGCCTTCCCCACACCTCTCCCTCCTGCAGCTGAGCGCAAACCACGCCCACCTCCACAACGAATAAGATTCTGTTACTGCGTTGCCCATTTCTCACCGAAAATCATTTCACGGGGTGACGTCCCGATAGGTTCACACAAGACACAGACAAAATATTTAGCTGATTTCAAAAGGAGACAGTTAGCTTAGATTTGCATAGCAGGGGAAACCTGCTAGCCTGAGTGAGCGCTTCTAGGTCTGATGCGCCTCAGGCAAATTTAGTCTTCATACTAAGCTAACCTATGCCTGGTTCTAGCTTCATATTTACCATACAGAAATGAGAGTGGTATTGATCTTCTCATCAAAAGATTGGCAAGAAACCAAACAAGTGTATTTTCCAATAAGTCAAACGGTTTCTTTAATGATTTGCTGCTTTGCTCCGTTGTTGCTGTTTCCTGAGTTGTAGGCATATCTTTCAGTGTAATAAAGGTAATAGCTTTAAGTCTTTCCCTCTCTTCCTGCCCCACTTTGTTCTTAAAGTCTTTTATTATATCATTTATTTTTCTTTATGCTCTCTTTTCCTCCCTCTCTTCCTTTCATCTCCACCCTCCCTCTTTCCCTCGCTGTCATCTCTCTGCCCTGCCACCTTCCAATCTCAGATCACCTCATCTCTCCTCATTCTTCTACCTTTTCTATCTCGTTCCTCCATCTGTTGTTTGAAGTTAGAAGGTTGGGTTGGGTGACAGATCTCTTTAAGACTTTCAACTCCAAAGGACTTGAGGCAACAACTCCCACAGTCAGGTTCTAATGGAGAGACAGGCAAAGAAGAAAAGCGACCAAATAAACTGCAGAGAGAAAAAGAGAGTGAGATAGAGGGGGCAGATAGCAATTTTGTTTTCTTCTCGCCATCGAGTGCCCCAAGAGATGATGAAGGATCTTTGATGTGTGATGATTCCATTCTCTCTCTCTTTCACTTTCTTTTCTTTGTCCTCTGGTTGTTTCACGTCCTCCCTCTCCTTTGTTTGTGTGGTTATTTATTTCATTCATTCCTTCCGTCTGTCAATTTGCATGAAGCAGAGACATAGGAAAGTGGAGGGATTGGGGAATACAAAACTTTTTGGCTTTGCTTTCATAAGCAAGGCAAGAGCTGCTCTTCTAAACTTTAACTTTGGCTTTGAAGTTTTTGAAGTTGACACTTAATGGTGCTGGGTTGATGTCTGTGCATTCATGTATGTGTGGCTGTTTGTGGGTAGGCATTATTACAAGTGGTATATCCTTGTGGAATCACTGCCTCACTCTTTCTTACACAAACACACTCCCCCATATACACATGTGCACACACTCGCAGTGGCCCGTGGCTTTTTGCAGTAGTGTATAGCATTGAGCTTGTGCTATAGTGGATGGTTCTCTCAGTCCTGATTCCGACCCCTACATACACAGAGTAAACACACACACAACAAAGTTTCTCCATCGGTGTCCAGCTGGTGTCTTCCCATGCATAGTAGTGCTTCTATTCTCTCAAGCTCTAATCATTTTTCTGACAAGAAACTGAACTTTTGTGCCATCTCCACTACATTAAGTTAACATTAAGTTTACCATTTCTATCAACCCGACAATCATTCAGTGAAGTTCTTCATAATGTTTGGGGGTTGTTTCAATGCTGCTGGTTGCAGTTTAGCTACTGAGTTTCTGGAAATTAAGATGATATTTTTTTATCTTGTGGACACAAGATATGGATCTGGTTCACAATGTTTGAACACTAAAGTTATTATTATAACTAATATATTGCACTAAAGATAATGCACACCTCTCGTAGTCCTGAAAGATTATATTGTTTTCTCTTAGGGCACAACATATTACTTTGTTCACACATGATCTGTATCTTGCAACATTGTAACATGACAAAAAAAATCTTTCAGGACTTCAGGTTTGGCTGGACAGTGAGAGTAAAGCTGTGCTACTGCTTAAATCAAAAGATTTTTTTCTCTGAATAGCAGCCATTTTAGGACATCTCAGACTAATTTTGCAAGCCTAGATTCACATACTCAATGTTATACTTTGTCAATATCAGGTCCACTTAGGAGGGTAGAGTTATTAACAAAAGCAGTATATCAATGACAGCCAGCACTGTAGTCAGACCACCTTCGTCGAATCCAAGGCCAGGACTGATGGAGAGTAAAGACTGAGTCCAAAAGGGTCCAAATGAGAGTGACAGAGTCAAGGCCAAGACAGACAAAAAAATGGTCTTGCCATTGCCAGTGAGATGAGTTTTGGCAGCAAGGCATTTGCAAGTGACATTGACCAATGTTGGCCAATGTCAATGCCTGTTCTAGATGGATTTTTAATTAAACCAATGACCATTTTCTGTTTTGGAAGAGAAAAAACATCTGGACTTCTATAATATTTGGTGAGACCAATGGCCAAGTCAGAGACGATTCAGAGTACAAATACAGAGTCAGAGACAATAGAAAATATGCCTCAAACTTGTTATTGTTGCAAAGCGACTTTTACAATCCCTTAACTAAATATCTCATAACCACACTAGCTGTGTCAAGGGCTGGCTCAACCTAAACTGAGACTTAACCCAAAATACACCCTATACCCCGAATTCACACTAAACATGACATATCAGCACCTAAACATTATTGTCCATTTATTTGATTCATACCAACTCCGTTTGGTGGTGCCTGTCCACAGCTACACTAACTGCCATGCTGAAAAGACAGCCACTGTGTATTCACCAGTATATTCAAAAGGGAACATCTCTTCCTTAAGACAGACAAGTGCCAGACATCAAAAACTCTATATTAGCCATCAGCAACTTAGGACTAAGAATACCTATGTCAGTTCAACCCAGACACAAGCTCTTCCTGTGCTTTACTGAGTAGTATTGACATGTGTGGCTACATAACGCTCCCACTCTTCCTATTTCTGAGAGAGATCTTCAACTGACATCCCAACCTGGCAGAGGCAGCCTCTTCTTGGGCAAGAGCGCCTCGGCATCTCCCTTTGAAGCCTGCAAGAGGAAGTCACCCACTAGGCACTCGGATCCCATATGGACCCGAGTTCACAACAGGGAAGAAGGGGTAGAGCATGGGAGGGGACTGTCTGCATGTGTAAATGTCAGAGGGATTAGCGTATCTGTGTGTGCATGTGATTAGAGATAACTGGTTAGACACATTGGAATAAAATCGAGGCAACTGTAGGTGCAGTGTTCCTTGTATGTGTTTATGCATGTCCTAACAGCCTAACTTACTAATCAAAGTCAGTCCCATCAGTATCAGTCACATCTGCAGCACGATCAGATCCACAAGCAGATGACTCCCCCTCCCATTGATTCTGAGCTCCAACTCAGCACATCGACATGCTGCATATGTGTTAAGCAGCTGTGCAGAATGATCACCAATAGACCAGATGTTGTATCTTGCACCTCAATAGCAGCGAAAATGAACCGGATTGATTAGGACTCCCATCTGCTGCGCAAGCACAGTGTTAATAAGCAGGCTGCAGAGCATTCTTCATTAGAGAGGGAGGTTATCCAAGGCTAAGTGTTCAAAGGCTGTACCAGGTTATATCAGAGGTGTTGAGAGTAAGAGGTGAAGCACGGCCCAATGAGTGTTGGCACTGCCGAGGTAAAGCCCTAAAGCAGAGGAAGAGGAAGGAGGGACAGATGTACTCAGAGCCAAACAGTCAGGTATGAGTGGGCTAGTGCAATCAATTAAGTTGCACAGCAAGGCAGGGTAAATGGTCAAGCATGCTGCAGAGTGTCACAGTCAAGCACTTTTCAGAAGAGGTTAAACAGGTAATGTACTAATGCATTTCAGTAAGTGGTAAGCTCAGCGGAAACCATTCGGTTTTAAAACTTCACAAGCCAAGAATTAATACAATAAAATGCAGCTGTTTTTTCACAAGAAATCACAAGGTGGAGCTATAATAGAAAAACCATCCCTCCTGACTGTAAATTCCCATCATTGGCATAAAGAGGAAAATACATTTGATTTTCCAGTGCCACTTTGCTTGATCTATCATTGCTACTAGTGGTCTGCCAAAAAAAGTTTGCACCTTTTAAACAAGTTTTATGATGAAACGAAAGGGACTAAAAGAGAAATAGCAGAGCAAAGAATGAGAGGGTCATGCCCAGGGAAAAAAAACAATGGTGGTGTGCGTGTGTGTGTGTTTGCTTCTTTCTTTTTACATCTTCTCACCAGAATGGTTGAGAGAAATGCACAACACAGTGTCTGTGTAGGATTTGTAGTGTGTGTGTAGGGGGTGAACGATTTGGATTTGCTGTTGTGAGTCAGATATGGAGAAATCATCCACCAGAGAACAATCCACACAGTACACGCCTACCAGTCTGACTCAGTTTTACATTATTCACAACTGTAGCAGTCTGTAGTGCATCCACTTAATGCCAACACAACTGAACACCTATGGGAGATTATAGCTACTGCCAGATATATTCTAATGTTACACTCTGCAAGAAAGTAAATAAGTGTTTTAATTTCCCACTGTGTCAACTAGCCTTTTCCTTTAAAGGCGGTTAGCTACAGCAGCCAAGTGTTAAATTATATTCCAGTTATCATTTAAGTTATGCAAGAAGAGCTGAGGGCTACATATCCACATATGACACACTCTCTGTTTCTCTCTCTGACAGATCTGTGACAAGGAGTGGCATTACTACGTCATCAATGTAGAGTTCCCAGTGGTGACGCTCTACGTGGACGGAGTGACCTACGACCCCTACCTGGTGACTGACGACTGGCCCATCCACCCCTCACAGATAGATGTGCAGCTCACAGTCGGTGCCTGCTGGCAAGGTGAGAGGACGAAGCTGAGTGTTGATGCTGATGAAGATGATGCCAGTGGTGATAATGAAACAGTGAAAATCCCACAACTGAAAGAAAAGTTTAACATAAAAGTCACAGTTAAATGAGGTACACTGGGTATTCTGCTGATGAAATACAGCTTCTATACCATTCAAGTTTAGGAATATGAATAATAATGTCTGAAGTATTATTACTAAGGGACTTACTGAGTGTGGAACATGTTCTTTGGCCTTGAATGAACAATGTAATTAAGAAAAGCACTTAGCTTGCCTTTGACAAATGATTGAACCTGAAGTCTGAATGAAGGCGTACAATTAAACTGCCCTCCACAGTGATAGCTGCCACTAATTGCACAAGGGTAGAAGAAAGGCCACTTTTTCACACAGTACAGAATACCATTGATTTGATAGCCCAAATGAGACTGCTCAGTGACACAGCCTCAGATAAGGAGTCAAGATATCTTTTCATGAAGGAGCAGGAGCAGGTCATCTTGTGTTGCTTTCATCTGCAACAGTGACCCCCCCCCCCACTCCTCCTCCTCCTCCTGCCCTCCCATTTCTTTCACTGAACGCTGCTAGCCTTTAGAAGGATTAAAAGGGCCTTAAATAAAAAAGGGAGTTCAGAGACTATTTAAGCTTTTCTAGTTGGGGGCTAAGCCTCAGTAAAGAGTTCTAAGGGTGATACTGAAATCACAACATAAGCTATTAGCCACAACAGATTGCCTTTTCAAAGCACTGAGCGTTGAGTGTCCAGCACATTGATTGCAAACGTGTTGCAAAGATGAGCTTATTTATTGTCTAACTGGCTCCTGAAGCTTCAGCTGTGAATGTGTCTTTAGAATAGTGGGTTTATCTCTGCTTTCTATTGTACTGCTGAATGTCTACAGACAAACTGTCAAATGATGGTTTCAGAGTTCAGACAGACGTGATAGGGTGCAAATGGATGGGGAGTGAGTAAAAAAAAAGGTTTGCAAGCTCAAAACAGTACAGCTGCAAGCAACAGTGAAATTTCACAATATTTAATTAAATTTCATGATATAATTTCATGGTTCATAACATTTTAACTGGTCACTTAGCATTGTCTAAAGGAAATAAATTCTGTCCTGAGCACAGCAAATGAATATAATTTAGAATTATCTTATCTCACATATTTATCCAAAGAAATTATTCTAGTGTGGTGTGGCAAGATTTTATGGTTTTAGTCTGTAAAATCTGTAATAAAACCTGCCTCGAACTTTCATTAGGAGCTAGTTACACACATGAATCAGTTTTTATTAGAAGGGAAGCTTCAATGTCTAAAGATGATCTACAAAATAGTAGATAAAAAGGCTTTTAAATTAAATCATTTCAAATGTTCTCAGTGTTGGTCCAATATGATCAGTATAGTCTGGCTGTAACATATTGTAGCTTTTGGGTGAGAGGCAATGATAGTGACAATGACAATGATCATGTGGACTATAAACACCCACTTACTCTGAAGCTCATATTATACCTTCTGCCTCTGCCTAACCATCAGGATAAAGTTTCAGCATCTGCCCATGTGAAGCTGCTTTCAGTGTGTTTGGTTCATTTTGGTTCAGTTCTAGGTTATCGCAGGAATCTTTGCTGATAAATCAGACAGTAAAAAAGGAACTAAAACAGAGGTGTGTTGAGCTAACTCCTGCTCCATGTATTTTAGCAGTGCCCCAGTAAAGAGTGAAGGAAATGTAGTGACTATTGCTGTATAATATTAATATACAAAATGTCCCATTTCTGTCTGTTAATCTCTATTTATTATCTACACAGTCTGGCTACAGTCTGGACTACTAATGCTTATAAGCAGTTGTTTCTTTTTTGGGAGCTTTTTGTATCATCAGAGAAGATAGATAGATATATCTTATATGGTGCAGTGAAGTGGCTCATTTCATGGCTTTATGTCAGTCATGTGGGTTCATGATTCAGGATGCTGTCAGTCCATATGACCTTATGTTTACCCCTTGGTTTGCTTGTAAAATGCATCTATGAACACAAAGTGGACCCAAACTAAAAGGAAACAATCTATCTATTTTTTTTTTATTGGCTTGGAACAACTGGACCAAACTACATCTGTGAAAACCCCCTAAGAGTGCATGTGGACTAGAATTTATGACAGTAGGGACTATATACACACACTTACTGTTTTTTAATCAATGTGTATCTATTTTATTGGTTTTATTTTTACATTTTCAGAATTTTTTTTCCTCATCTGCATTAGTCTTAAATTTTTTTACTGTTTACAAATGTTGTCCGTCATCTATAAAGCACTTTCAATTGCCTTAACCTGTATGAAAGGTGCTATATGCATTAATTTTGATTTAATGATTTGGGAGAACTCCACAAAGACATCTATGTGGACCCTCACTTAAGCAAATTCAAATTCAAAGTTAACCTGTAGATACCTGTTTATGGACAAAACACATTGTTAACACTACATATAAACTGGATTGCATTGCTCATTAGCCTGCATGAGCTACAGCTGTTAGTGTGAGTCCCTGTTACAAAAAGCAGTGAATTATCGACCTGTAAAGTGTGCATTTGTACATTTTCATTCTCTCCTATTTTCTAATAGAAGGGTTGCCCCCATCCATCCTTCTTCCTTAACCTCTGAGAGTAAGTGCTGTCTGTGCAGTTTTCACACAGTCGGCCTATATTTACCCTCTGACCCGCTAAGTGTGTCCATGTTCAGAAGTGTGGAACAGTTGGGCAGCGAAAAGCAACACACTCATCTCGCCTCATTCTTCTTTTTTCTCGACTGTGTAATCACACACTGCTGCTCTGCTCAGCAGCAAGCATTCAGGAGGAAGTATTTGTGATAACACACATGCACAAATTGAAATATAAATATCTGTATACAGTATGTTAAATAAATATAGGCACACAGGTGCTGAAACAGGTACATGTGCAATAAATCAGACAGTAAATGTCAGACTCTCACATTTACACTTAAGTAATGATCCTATTTCCAGCTCACCCATGCCTCTCCAGTCTCATCTGTTGCTCTTTTGGAAATGACGCAAATAAAGCTGAGTAAAAAGAAGAGTGAAGATCTATGGAGCAAGGAGGGCGTCACAGAGCGGGCAAAGAGAGCTGACACCACGTAAAAACCAGCCTCTGTAAAGTAGAATGATCAGCGGTTTTATCACCCATATCATTCCCGCTCTGCAGCATCTCAGTAATCCCCTCTCCTCTGCGTCTCTTTTTTTACCCTCTGTCTGGGACCCTTAATGGTTTCTCTGGCCGCGGCCTAAATTGATAACATCTGTCAGGGTCGGACAGAGTGGATACGTGGACAGCTAGAGAGACGACAGGAAAAAGGGAAGAAAATGGTAACTGAGTTAAGGAGAGAGAGCAGGTAATGAATAAAGAAAGAGGAAAGAATGGGTTTGGCATAGTTTGATATTCGTGAATCCAAATGTGATCCTGTGGTTTTATAAGATGGACTCTGCTCCTTTGGTGCCTGGCAGGGTATCAGCAAGCACTTAAGCAGGAGGCTTTAAATATGCAAAGCAGCCATGGTTATTGTACTGAACTTAAATGAGAGTTAGATAACCAACATTACAGTGAAGGGCACATTGCTGACAAGTGAGATCAATGTGGGGCTGCCATACACAAATTTATGCAGAATAACCAACATCAACCATAATCAACAGATGAATGTTCTACATGATTTTTACAGCGCTTGAAACTGGCTATTGAAATTGTCTGTTCTGGCACAGCACATATGTAGTTTAAAATGATAACAGTATTAGATTTACCACTAGAAATCCTTGATAGAAAGACAAAGCAGGCTTCTCATTTCTGGACCATCAATTTCGTATTCACTGTTGCTAGCAAATTAACGTTAGCTCCAAGAGTTGGTCAACAATGTCATCTTCAGCTGATGTTTCCAGCTGACTCATGTTAAAACAAGAATCCTGTAAAAGAAGTCTTACATATGCAGTTGACATCCTAAAGCTTGTAGCTCATGTTAGAGTAAGTAAATCCACTTTTTCTAGCCTTTCGTGACACTATTTCTCTTGGCTTTGTGGTTTTGCAATGGCTAAAAACCAACTAAAAACCAACTAAAAACTAAAGGCAGCTGTCCAGAGGTTGACTGGACAGTTGTTGGCTAGACAGAAAACTAAATATGAAAAGTCAAAAAGGCAGTTACACACAATCATGCTGAGGAGGTTAGGCCTATATTCATTGAATATTTAAAGCAACAAAGAAAATGTAATGACAGAAATACGCAGGTAAGGGAGAGAGTTCAGGACTGAGAATTTTTGATAGCCACCTCCATATTTCCATCTGGCTAGTCAAGAAAAAGGTTTCATCATTCTCTTGTCTGGGAAAGCAGGCAGGCAGATGACAACCCAGTGGGCTGATATGGTCCCGTGGGTAGCTCACACAACCAGTAGGACTTTGTTGTCTGCTTCAGGGGCAATAACGGAGCTCTATCTAGCTGGCCATAGTGCACAATGTAGCTGCAGTTTAGCAATCGAAGGGATGATTCCAACTTGAATGTCTGCAGGTGCTGCAGTCCTTTTCTCGCAAGGTTTTACACCAAGAGGCAGGGCATGATAGTAGCATTGTAAAATGTTTCAAGCAATAGTCAGCTGTGTTTCCACCTGCACTGACTGAGCTTTTTCCAGAGCCAGGATATATAACTTATTAGGGCAGTGATACATGTGCCTGCACCATCAGTAGGGAATTAAGGGAGGGGTACCTGGGTCAAGCTTGGCAGTGTCTGATGAAGTGTAGCCAGGGGGTTTTGAAGTGAGGATTCCCTCAACTCCAGTTACTGTAGAATATCACAAAGTATTTCTCCTTAGTCACCAACTGGATTACCTGGTTCAAAGACTAAATTGCCATCCACCAAAATGGATAGCACTGGAAGTCGGAATTGGAAGTGAAGTAGATTTGCAAGGCTTGCCAAGCAACAAATCCAGTTGTGCATTGGACATGTCCGCCTCCTTGGATATCAATGCCTCAGTTGGCATAATCTTCAACATTAAACCTTGAAGGTTTACCCTCACAATGATACTAAGGTTTTGCAAGAAAAGGCACTGTTATCAAAGTTTTAAGAGGAGGTCTAGTGCACAGACATTTATACCTTTGATCTCCAACCTGTCTTTTGTGTTCTGCAGCTGATGGTGGTTTGCTTGGATCAAAGACATTAACATATTGAGACAAAATGTGGCCTTTTATATGTGAGAAATATCAGGATTAGACTCTTGGCGACAGTCAGTATTGCCTATGAGTGTGCACAATAGCCTCTTTTGCATGCAAGTTAGTATGCCTGTTCACCATATGCATGTGTTCTGCCAGAACAAGTTGCTTGGCAGTAAAGGGATAAAATTAGTTATATGTGAGAGGCCACTCAATGCACTACCAGAACCTGCATTTTCCAAATGGGGGTCATACTCAAGGCAGGTAGAAAGGTAAAAAAGGTTTGCACAGGACATTGAAGGTGATACGTCAGCAGCTGGCTGTAAAATTAGAGAGTAATTTAGAGCAACATGGGCTACTTTCCAGTTCGACTATGCTCCTTCATCCAATCTAATTGAGCAACCTATAGAGAATGTTCCTACAATGAAAAGGTCCTAAATGTATTGACATCTGAGTGATTGAGTGCTGCTGCTTTTCCTTCCACGCTGGTGATTGCTGTTTAGTGGGATGGAAGGCTGTTAGGTGATTGGACCATTTGCCTCATTTGCCGTATACGTATACTGGTGAACTGGAATTTCAACATACAGTAAACAGACAAGCATGCCCAGGATAACAATCTCAGTGATTGAACACACAGCAACTGGCACATGGAAGATCATGTAGAATTGTTGGCTTTTAGATAATAGCTATGGTTAACACATTCCCAACAGTGAAAAATAAGTGTAGAATATAAAAAGCCACTGTTTGCTGCCTCACTCCAACAATCACTTGGAGGCAGGTGTATGAGAGTGTCACAGAAGTATGCTAGACAGGAGAGGATAGTGAGACAGAAAAGTTTCTTGCCATGCCCCTTAGCTACATCGTTGCCCATCAGTCATTGCTTCATTTCATCTTCCAAATGTTTTTGATGTATGAACAATTTGGGATTTTTTGATAACAAATGTTATTAGGTGATATACCTTTAGTGCTTTGGTGGGTTACTGCCAGAATTGGAGAAAATTGGATAGAAGGGAAGAGGAAGTAAGGTTTTAAATACAAGGAAGGAAATGAATGGAAAGGTGAAGTTTTGATACCAAGAGCTAGTAACCTTTCAAATAATGAGTGGTTTGGAGACTCCTTTTGCTGGTATTGGCCTTTACAGAGTTCAGAGGACATACTTTAAATGTGTTGACTTTTTCCTTACCTTTATTTAGCCTGGATAGGCTGGCTGAGTAACACTTGCACTTTTACAGCAGCACCCTGTCGCTTAGTCACAGAATGGAGACACAAAACATGCATCTTAAGGCCAATTATAGCAATAATTTGGTCATCAAGACTCATAATTAAAGATTGGACAAGGTCGCTGTTAGTTTAACGTTCTCAAGAGTGTGTAGGGGACTATTATGTGCCACATACCGGTAGAAAAAAACATGACACCATGGTTATGATGGTTACTGTACTGAAAATTAACCCTAATCCACAGATTTAATATCTACTACTGCTTTGAGTGTTTTTCTGTGATCCATTGTAATGATTTTATAGAAGACGATTTGTACTGGTAGATTACTTCTAGTAGGTTTGGTTTTTGTGCACATTTTATAACCAATGGTGTCACCATAAACATCAAACAATTGTCTGCTTTAAATTCGAGAAAAGGCATTTTATGAACTGTTTTAGTGTATGTGTGTGTATGGTTGTGTGTGTAGGTGGGGAGGTGACCAAGCCTCGGTTCACTCAGTACTTCCGGGGCAGCCTATCGGGACTGACCATCCGACCAGGAAAGATTGAGAGTCAGAAAGTCATTTCCTGTCTGCAAGCCTGCAAAGAGGGACTGGACATCAACTCCCTGGAGAGTCTGGATAAGAGTATAAAGGTATTTATACACACATATACAGTCCCACAGGGGTATGCCAGAACAGTAAATTCATGTTTTAGCTATTGTACAAATCTAAATCAAAGTTACAGTGATATATATCACATGCTGAAGAAGTTGGACATGTAAGGAGACAGCAGCAATGTTCTGAGGCACATTGTGTGGGTGTTCACTCACAAAGAAGCACATAACTACCCTGCAGTCACACAGGTGCATATGACCATATACACATACACATATTCATGGTACACAGTATACCCAAAACCCAGGGATCCAGCATTTGTTATGTGACACGTCTCAGAATAGAACTTAACAGTGCTAGTACCTCAATCTTTAAAACACTGTTATTATACTTAAAACAGTTGGACTTCACAGTTGGAGTACCCCTTAGCAATTTTCTGTACCTTTTCAAAAATTTCTACTCAGTTTTCTCCGCTCACTGTAATCTACCAGAAATGAGGGTGGTATCAATTTTCTCATCTAAATCTTGGCAAGAATGCAAAAAGATTCCCAAAATGTTGAACCACTTCCTTAAAGCTGATCTGTTATGCTCACTTCCAGCTCTGTATTCTAGGACTTGATTCATAGTTAAAAAAAACTTTTATCTTATACTGACCCTTTATGCAGCCCCTCAGTTCATCCTGTCTGAAACAACACGTTTTAGTTCATGTCTCATTAAGGCCCCCCTCCCAAACTAGAAGCCCACTTTCTTCCTCTTGCTGCATGGCTAACTGAGCTTACTAGCAAACAGCAGCTAGTCAGTGGTTACTTTAGCAACCAGTAAAACTTTCTGTCCATTAGGAAACTGCCTAAAATTCCTTCATAACCAAAAAAGCCCTTACTTTGAGACACAACAACCTGAAGACTGAGTGGGTGTATGGGAGCATCCCTGTACTTGGTGGGCGTGCTGGGCCTGGAGCAGATGATCAACTCATCACGGAAGTAGAAAATAAATGTTGGAAACTAGAGCTTTTTACTTAGAGGTATTATACGTTTAACTCATTACTTAAACCTTTGGCCATGCTTAATTTTAACATCCAACATTGTAACCTTATATATGACTGAAGTAAGGGAAAGAATAATGAGAACCCTGGTAGCGGTAACAGTTCGTTTTCCAACAACTGTCCTGACTATATACTGAGTACACGCTCATCCTCCTCTGGTGTGTACACATACACGAAAACACACATTTTTATCCCACTTGACACAAAAACACAACAAAAATCACCACAGCTAAATCACAAGTTGGCTTCCTTGAAGCTCCTCAGCTACCTTCCATAACCCCCAACCCCCCTTTCACCGCCGCAGCTAATCCATCTCCCTGCACTGTGGAAGATAGAGGGCAGACAAGATGGATAGGGGTTTGTGTAGACTCCAAGCCGCCCACCTACACACCCACCTTCCCTCAGCTCCCTTAACTCTTTTTCTATCCGTCTCTCTTCAGTCTTCTTCTCTCCCTCCCTCACTCCTGCTGCTCTTTCCGCACAGCTCCTTGTGCTATGATGCAGCAGAGAGATCCTTGCCAGCCTTTTGAGAAGATGAGGTGGGGTGAGGAGAGAAGAGGAGGATAACTTCTCTAGGGCCAGTGCAGTTTATCTTTTGAGAGCTATTTCATTTTCTTCTTAGCCACACACTCGTCTGGCTCCCATAAGTCCACGGGAGGCTTGAGGATAGCATTTAGCCAGGCAGGTGGAGGACTGGCACAGCACAATCAGAGGAGAATAATAGGGAGAGAAGGAGAGACAGAGGGAGGTAGAGACAGATAGACAGCAAGTGTAGCGACAGAAAACAGAAGATGAGAGGAGAGAGCAAGGTGTGAAGGGGAAAATGACAGGAAAGAGTGAATGTATGGGGGGGCTCCATGGAGTGTTGACGTGCTGTTGCCCTGCTGCAGTTTTAGGAAATGGGTGAAATTCAGTGCAGTTCTAGCAATAGACTAAACCCTCTTTAAAGGAAGGAGGGCCTCAAATCCCTAGCATCAAAACCTGCATAATATAGAGAATACACAACTCTATCAAGAGTCCACTGACTATTAAAGGGCTAGGTTTTCTTCTTGTTTTTGCCCATTCAGCACAAAGCACATACATATTCCTATTACTTTTATACTATTATGTTCCCTTCTGTCTTTTTCCATTGATTTCTGTACAGTATGACAATCAATTTGCAAAGGCCTGAGACTACCGTAAAATAGGTGATCCATCACAGTGAACATCAGCTCTGCTTTTTTTAGTCAAAGTGACACTGCTGTTGTATGGTAATGCAGTACAAACATGATGTTCACTTTGATGGATTGCCTGATTAAAGCAAGTTTCAAGCTTCTGCAAGCTGATGTTCAGAGTACTCTGTCGTAAAATGAATAGAAATCAATGGCAGCCAGGAAGGTAGGAAAATGTAAAGTCACTACAGCATGAATTGGAATGGACCTTTTAACCATTACAATTACATAGCTGAAATAAATAAAATGTGTTTTTGTTGGCATGAAATGTACTGTAGGTGTTTTGTGATAGAAGTATGACACTGCATCAGATTGACTCCCAGGTCAAGATAATGGATGTTACTTTTTGAAAGTTTAAGGAACTTACTAAGAGGGCAGATTGTTTAATTTAATTGCAAATTGTGTTATTGAAAAAGGCACCTCTAAAGCACATTTTAACTGATATGATAATGGCCTTAAAGGTGTGCAAATTAATGTTTTTATGAAATGACACTGTATAATGTTAAAGGTGTTGCTAATTGTAACAAACCCCCAGAGAATTATCACCAGACTCCGAGCTTACAAGTTTTTTGCGCTCTACGAAGCAATTGTTTTGGTTCACTTTCACCGCTCTCATCTGTGTCGTTTCCAGCAGCAGCCAGAAAAAACTACTGCCCAACATCAAACAGCAGACAAGACAAAGTTAGCGACTGGTTGGTGAACATAGTGGAACATTGAGCAGCTAAAGACATAGTGTTACAAGAGAGTGAAAATAGGACTTGCCAGTTGCCAGTTTATTAAATACACCTAACTAAAATGAACGTAGTCTAATACTACAGTCCAGCAATAAACTGTACATTCATGAAGGTTATAATGTTCAGTCTTTGTTGGAGGATGCAGTTTGTGGTGCTGTTGAATTATACTGACTTGTGGCCAGAAACAAAACTCCAGATGTAAATAGGTAACTCTTCTCTAACATGTTCACCATATCAACTTTACAAGGTGATATAATATCTAAATGATGTGGATGAAGCTTGTTGCACTGCCCCCAAGTGGCCCCAAAAAATCAATTAATACAAGGTTTGGTTTTACAAGGTTTAAGGTGTGTGTGATTTACTATCAGATCTTGAGGCACTAAAATCTAGTTTGAGAATGAATCACATTACCGCACAGGAAACAGCCAGGCAGATACAGTACACATCGAACTGACGGGGGCCCAGCAGCATTCTTGCCCCAAGCCCCCAAGGGGGTTAATCTGTCCGTGCCTCGTCCTGTCTAGGGGACACTGTGTTTCTTTCACTTCGTCAGTACTTGTATGCACAGACAAATCTAAAGCATTTCAATTAGAACCGATTGAGTGCAGCTCAGTTGGCTCAGTTCCTGTTCATCGTTTCTGTTTCAATGCTGTCTGATATCTCTTTCTCTCTCCGTAGTTCCACTTCAACCCAGCCCAGTCCATCTTGGTAATGGAGGGAGAGGACTTGGAAAACATGAATGCTGCTGTGAGGAAAGTTTCCTACATTAATTCTCGCCAGTTTCCAACACCAGGCATCCGCCGTCTGCACATCTCCACTGTCGTCCAGTACGTACAATAGTTCTCTATCTTCTTCCTTCCTCTTGTCTTTTTCCCTATTCTTTTTTTTATCTCCATTCCTTCAGTCCTCTCCTATTGTCTCTGTTTCTCTGTACCTCGTATCTCAGATATGAGAAGCATTAACCCACCTCGACACTTCTGTTAAGTGTTAAGACAACACAGCAGATATCACAGCCTGACTGATACATAATTCCCCTCTCACACATTGATCCCAACCCCTCCTTCTCTCACGCCTCTCTCTCTGTTTCTCTTTTCCTCTGCTGTCACTTTCCTTTTCCTCTAATACACCAGTTTCTGCTCGCTGTCGCCACCGGGGGCCAGTTTTTACATTTTCATGTCATGTATTAATAATTTTGCCTGGGTTTTGCCAGAGGAATGAGAGAAAGAGATATATAAAAAGAGAGGGAGAGAGTGTGTGTGAAGGAAAGAGAGAGAGAGAGAGAGGGAAAAAAAAGATAGAGACGCTGGCTGGTAAAAAGGCCTCCCTCAGCGGATTAACATTAAAATTCATGATTGTTTTAAATATACAGTATGTAGACCCCTGCAGCACAGCCCTGGGGGTTCACTCTTCACCCTCCTGTTGGGCCCGGGAACTTCAACTAACACAGCAGAAGTGAGTGCGTGTTGGTGTGTGTGCTTCATGGGCTGCTGGTGATGAAGCAGTCATCGTAGCTAGAGGCACACCGATTATCAAGGAATACATTATGCTAATGACGGCTAAGCTTGCGTCATTGCTAAATGTTAAGTTTTTCCTGCAGACTGTAGTTGCTCCGTACATGTCTGAGTGTGTGTGTGTGTGTGTGTAGAAGGGATGAAAACAGTTTGAAACAGGACTTGCGGATAGTGTGTGTGAGAGGGCTTCCATTCAAAAACACATGTAGAGACTCATTGATAGGATGTAATTTAGCTTCCAGTTTAATATACACTCACACCAGAACAGACACCAGTAGAAAAATGTCTCCTCAACACAGTTAGTTACGCTGAGAGCCTGGAACGTGGCCCGCTGCCACCACATGTCATTGAAAAACTTCCCTCACTGCCACAGACTATCGCTCCTCACAAATAAATGGAGATGTAAATATGCAATTAAACTACTTTCTTGCTGACGTCCAATAACCGCAATAACCGCAGGCATCTAGAAAATAATTAAGCAAACAGCACTAATCTTAACAACAACCCTTGTGGGCTCCCCTGTCATATTTCTTCATTGGAACAAACTTATTCTATTTTTCTCATGGAGAGTGGTTTAGAGATATGCTTACTGAATAAATATACACACTCGAAAAAATAAATATGTGTGCTACATACTTCTTGAAGGAGGATATCTATTTTGTAGTTTTAACTTTTTGTAGCCATGCCAACACGAATGCCTAGTTGTACGATTCCAACAGAAAAGACAGTACTTACAGTTTTTAATGGATGTGAAAATTGCAGCTGTGTGACACTTCACCTGTCTGTGATGACACAAAATAATAATGATTCCTGGCTCTCTCAGAAGTCCCAATTTACTGCTCATATTACTGAGTATGTAGGAAAAAGTGAACAAGGGAGTTATTTCCGATGCAACCTGTGAAAATGACAAGCATGCATTTTTTAACAATCTAGCCTCTTAGTTCTTTCTCACTATTTATGAACTTATATATGTATATATATATATATATTTCTGTCAGATATTTTGACAAATCACAGCAGGAAAAGCACAGTTGTAATTAACAGTATTTTTTAAGATTCAGGGCTTCGCTATAAAGCATGCAGACTAACAGCTTATAAGGAGATTTAATGGAACTGAACCATTGTTAAGGAAATATGTCTCAGCTATGTTATCTCAGAGCTATGTTATCTCACCTAGAATATCTGACAAACATCTATTGTTTGTCCAATTTTATTCTGGGGACAGAGGTTGAGGTAGAATGTGTTTCTTTAATCGGGATTTGCTTAATGTGTAACCTGCTGTCGGTCACATATATATACATAACTGTACATGAACTTACAGAAGCAAGTTTGCTGCTACTGAAAGAAAATGTAATTATTACATATCAGCAGTAAATCTGTCTCTGTATTATTGCCCAAATAATGATTAGATTTTATGAGAAGCATTCACGAGATTGATGATATTTTTGGCTCTTTGCACTCCAGCATGAGATGAAAGATGAAATAAGGGATGAATCATAATTCAGAAATGTGTGATTAACAGGGTAAATATTTTCAGTTGTATGAGAAAGAAGTGTGAACCTCCAAAGGGATTCTTATCCCATCCATTAAATCCAATCTATAAAGTACTTTTTGTGGACTGTAGCCGGGGTGGAGCAGCGATTTTAAAAGTGTGGGGGCTGTAGGGGTGAGACCTGCAAACCCCCTTCGGCTCCCATTATAGTCTCCACAACATGCCAAATCAAAATGAATGCATTTCTACATTTTCTTCATCTCGATATGCAGATAATATCTAAAATGTACAATGCCGCACCAAGCCCTACAACCCAAGATACTGTATTCACCAGCATTCAACATACCATAGTATTAAACTATAACTTTTTAGTGTCTGTTAAAAATGTACAATAGCTCAGAAAATATTGCTATATAAAACTATATAAATTATACAGTAATTAAAATTGGTTGAATTTCTTTACTACACAATTAAAGTACACAGCAGCTTTTAAAAAAACACATCCTCACTCACATGTCCTTGTATCATGTTTCTGTGAAAGTAGAGAGCTGTAACAATACGCTAAGATTTGGAGGTGTGCAACTGCTCTTCTCTTTTTAGAGTCTTGTTGATAACGTGGGTGATTTAACTTCCAATTTGTTGTTTTAGTACTTTATCCAGAACACACACCAGCAGAAAAGATTCTCTTCAACTGACAGCCTGAAACATGGCCTCTCGCTATTACACGTCAGCAGGTGTTAAAAAAAACTCCCCCCAACAGCCGCGGACAGTATCGCTCCTCACAAATAAACAGAGATGTTAATTAATTCCTCCAAATGCAATTCAATTTGTTTCATGCTGACGACTAATAACTGCAATTACTGCAGGCGCTGAGAAAATAAAAGTAACCAGTGCTAATCTTTGCAACAGCCCTTTTAGGCTCCCTTGTCATATTTCTTTATAATTAAGTTGGACTAGCTCCAGGTTTTGTTTTTTTTTTCCATTTCTTTTTTCAGCTCAGCAAGCCCACGCAGCAGCCGTCTCCCTGCATCACTGAGTTTGTATCTCCCACTGCTCACAACAATGGCTTAGTGCCCGAACAGCGAACAGACACACACCACCGGCTGTGGCCGTATGAGAGATTACACGATGCCCCGAACCTGTTTTTGTCTCAAACCGTGGCCTCAGACAACAGACTGTTTAGGATTAGAGACAATAGTTAAGTGTCCATCCAGCTGTTAGGCGAAGTTTCAGGGATTTCTTTTTAAATATATTTTGAGAAACTAGATGTGAATTTGCGCTTTTTCGCTCAGCTGAGTTAATTAGGTAGTAGTAGATTTCTTGAATTTAGAGAAATACCAAAAGCACTTCCATAAAACAAATCAGGTCTTCCGAGAACTCATCTTCAAGTTCTCTCATCTTTGTGCTATATAATAATAATACTTCAGCCAATGGTAGTACCAGGGTACTTTGTGGGCATTATGAAGGAGTTTATCTTTTTATATATAATATTTATAATAAAAAAGAATTGAATGATATTTCAACTTACTCAAATTCTGGTTCGTGTCATACAACCCTAAAAGTCATTGATGGACGAGACAGTGCTAAGCAAATACTTTACAGAAACTTCTCATCCAATATCATCTTTGCTTTGACGTTCATCCAAACCTCCTACTACTGCCTTTCCCTTTCCCTTTCCTTTCTGGTCTTTCAAAATTCACATACCCGAGAAAACATATGGAAATTCATCGTATGGATTTATGCATTGCAGCATAGTTTACATCTGAATGTAGATGGGAAAATACAGGATGCATAACAGCTTGTAGCCCAGGTCTCCAATGCTGGAAATAAGCTTGTTATGATTTCTTCCTGTAGCTGGTTACAGAGATACAGTAGGGAGAGAAAGCATTGATGTCCCTCCCACTGACAGATGTTTGTGTTTGAAAGGCCTTCGGTGAAATGTAAAAACAAAAATCTTGTTGTTTGTTCAGCTTTCACGGCTTACAACCCCACCCCTCCCCCACCACCACCACCCCTTCCTCCCCCCTTCTCTCTCCACTCTGTCCTTTTTTCATTTTAACGTCTCGTCGTTTTTTATTTTTTTGATTGATGTCTAATCTGTGCTCTTTGTGTGTATGCGTGTGTCAACTAATGCATCAGAATGGGCATCAGATGCCTGCACATATTAGTGTGACTGTGGCCGATATGTGTGTGTGTGTGTGTGTGTGTGTGTGTCTGCTCTCCTCTGTCTGGCTGGGTTGTGTGAGCTCCCAGCTAGCTAGCTCAAGTCTAATCCAAGTGTCCGTGCAATAAAGGTTGCCAGTGGATGCTGTGCATTTAAACACATGCTGTCGCATGCTGACAGGAAGGCAATGAGGCAGACATGCATGTATGAAAACGCAGCAGGCACACTGCTTCAGGTCTGTGTCTGCTGCCTGAGTGCTGACAGAGCTTTTTACCCCCTGAATTACTGTGTGCACTATGGTCTGGATGTGGATTTAACAGCCTTTAGTGCAGCCGTAAGAGGTCCTGTTGGTATTGATAAGCTTTTTCAGCTGCTGTAATGTTCCACGTTTTACATTCTGTTGCTGAATAGGTATACAGCAGCTTGTGTTAAGGAGCTATTTTATAAAATGTCTTCAATTGTTCTTCTGTGACCCTTTGGTGCTGTGGGTCAACTGGTTGGTCCTTACATATGACTTTCTCTTCACTGAATAGGCTCAGCCACTTTGAGTGAAATTAGTCAGAGGAGTGAAAATAAAGAAATGCATTTGGCAACACTGTTGAAGGGTACGCCAGAGTATATGACACAGTGGAAGATTGTGGTTAATGTTACGGAGTTCAGCTTCAGTAATTCTGCAGTAGTCACCAATGAAAAAACATTTGTCGTCTTAGTGAGAAAGAAGGAGAAAGAAAAGGAGGCAGCTGCTAATTTGCATATATGAAATGAGACAATTGGAACCTGAATCAGTTCTCCTAGAGAAAAAGTAAAATTGGACTACTTTGAAGGTCATAAGACGTAAAGATAAAAGGAATGGTTCAACATTTTGAGAAATACACTCATTTGCCTTTTTCGCAGAGAGTTACATGAAAAGACTGACACCACTCTCATGTTTGTACGCTGAATATGAAGCTTCCACTAACAGGTGGTTAGCTTAGCTTAGCATAAAGACAGGTAGCAGGGGTAAACAAACACCACTGAAGTTCACTACACTTTCACATCTTTGTTAAATCTTCCCAAAAAAGGAAATGTAAAAATGACAATTTGTGGTTTACGGGGAGTTATGTGCTAGAACTATTTTGAATATAAATCCTTTCAAACCAGACTAAATTTGTTTGAAACAAGTTTTTTGACATTTCTGTAACATTTTTCAACATTTCAATTATTTAAATGTGAAGCAAGTCCCAACTACTCTTTGCTGTTGAAACAGTTATGTAACTTAGACATCTAAAATCCATGCACTTTTCAAAACATAACCCAGTTTTAGACATATTTTGACCTGCAAATCACCAAAACCATGTTTATTACACTGCATGTTAGGTAGGAGTTTTACACTGCCTTCCATCTGACTCTGCTTAACAATATAGCTGCATCTGATGCTGCTCCAGGCTTTGTTGATGTGTTTGAAATTTCAAAACCAGTTGCTTGCTAGACTGAAGAGTGGCAAACAATATCTTCATGCCATGCCTGAACATAGCTGCTGTAGCAAAAAGAACAACCACACCACTGCCAGCACTGTCAGCTTGCTTTTCCACATCACAGTTTGTCATCCAGCTCTCACTCTCTTGCCTTTCTTCACCTCTCTATGTCTAGGTGTTTTGGCGAAGACACTTGTATCACCATCCCAGACATCGATGCAGTGGTGATGGTGTTGCAGCCCAGTGAGCCCAGGATAACCATCACTGGACTTGAGAGACTGAATCGACCGGTCTCCGACCTCGGAGCATCAGGAGGCATAGCTCTGTTCCAGGACCTCCACATCATCAGCACGGTCACCAGGGCAGACGTCAATGTACATCACACAGGTATGGATTATCACACCTCTGTGCTATATAAGGCTTTCATTTAAGGGTACTGGTTCCAAAAACAAGTGGGAAAAAAACATCTTATTCTGTTCAAAAAGATGTGTGAGAACAATAATCCTGTGAACACAGAAGGCATTAGGTGGGAAGCCAGTGAGGGATCAGTACCTTATTGTTTTTTTTATTAGCCACTGGTTCTGGTTGGTGTAAATTCATGATCTCCTTTCATCTACCACACACCCAGGCAGAAATTATCAGCCAGCTTCAGCATGGACTGCAGTGCAGGGGGAAGAGATCATTTCAAACTGGGGGGAAAAAAAGGGAAAAATAAAAAACCTGAGGCAGCATACTGATTTTCATGTCCAACAGGACGTTTTCTTTGAAAGTATATTTTGGTCACTACTTTTGAAGGTTTAAACTTTAAATTGCAGGAAATGATAACCTAATTTACTTTTACCAGGTACTTTCTCAGTAACTAGCTCATATTCTGAGTGTACCTCACAGAGTGGGCGACACACACCTCCCTGCAGGTAGAAATCTGTCGACTAAATATTTCAGCAGTTTTTCATATTGATAATGTGCTCACTCATTCATGAAGTCCCATAGCCTATGCAGTGCCACCTGTCTTGCCGTCAAAATAAACCGTCAGAGAAAGCTGAACATTTCATAACGCCTCAGGAGACTGCGAATCAGAAGCAGCCAGCGTTTCTTTCATCTGGTACGTCTGCATGCAGCGGGAACTTGACAAAACAAAAGTTGTGCTTTTGTTTTCACGCTGCCAGATTTGCTTGTTCAGAGGGAGCAAAAGTCCAATGAAGAAGTTATCCGTGAGATTGTGTGATTCACAAACAGTACATGCGTAATACATAGGTACTGTGCATCTGTTCCCATTGTGTGATTGCACCGGCGGTGGAAGAAGTATCCAGATCCTGCACTTCAGTCACAGTAATACTGAAGTTATCTGAACATAACAACATCAAGCAACATTGTGAAGCTGTGTAGAGGACTGTTGGCCTTCACCCATGCTTTCCTCATCTCAGTTATTCTATCTGCCAATAACACCTCAACCACATTCCTTTGAATGTAAACAATGTAAACAAAAGGCCCTGCTGACTGAGATCCAACAAACCTCTGCACATTCTGCTAGCTATCTACGACTCATCAAATGGACTTTTATATGATGGAGGTCAGCTAGATCACTTTTGATTGGTTACATTTATGTATACACCAAAGGGTTCAAAATGAGTTATGAAAAGAGAGGACTTTCAATGTAAAAATACCATCACTGTTAGGATTTTTTTAATATACTGGCCGCATATTTTGTATGTAAAATCTTAACAAGTAACTTCTTAATATAGCTTTCATATAATTGAAGCCTAGTGGAGAAGTAAAAAGTATCCGATGGGAGTTCTCAAGTAGTCAAAATTGAACTTGAGTTGTAGAATACTTGAGCAAATGTACCGCTGGTTTGCACATACAGCTATATTTTAACACCTCCGATACGATCTACAGTGTAAGCTAGAGCCTTTTGTTCCATGCAACTCTGGCGGCCTCACCAATATGTTACACTAATTTCTTGCGGCAGAGTCCATCCCACTCCATCCAGGTTTGTAGGTATTAGCCCCTCCACTTCTGCCATACACTCTCCTATCTGGGCCTGCAGACCCCCTCCTGCTGAATAAGACCTGCACCTACCGCAAGACTGATTCTCAGGGTCGCACTACCTTGACCAGCAGCAAATGAGTATGACATTTAAATCCCGTCAGCTCTATACTCGTCCAATGATCTGACCTCCGAGGCAGGAGCAGCCCGGCTCGGACTGGCTCTGCCCCGGGCCCCCCGCCGCTCGTAGCCAATTAGGAGCAGATAAGCAGAGCGAGAAGGAGGTTTTACCCCTCCATTGTGCGTAATGCGGCGAAGGAAGAAGAGCAGAAAGTGGCATTGCTTTCAGGAGTCGGTGGAGCTCTCTCTGTTGCTGAAATAGAGACTGCAGCTGGGGGGAAGAGATTAGCTGGAAGCCAGAGAAAGACACAGAAATGGAAAGAAAGAGAGGAGAGACACGAGGGGAAAGAGTGTGTGTGGGAGAGGGAGGCACGATGAAGTTCCATAATGAGCAGATTTTGTGTTCTCTTGAGTCTTAAAGGATTCGAGATAAATCACATATTTCTTTTGCAGGGCATGCAGTAAGTTTCTTTTGGACCCTGTTAATCACGCCCTCGCCCTCTTCTGCTACGTCTCTCTGTGTCATTCATTTGTCTTTTTGTTGAGCCTGCTCCGCACTGCCTCATTCTTCTCTCCAGCTCATACTACAGTATCTCTTCAAGACTCAAACTCAATGTCATCAATTCTCTCTCTAACGCATCATCTTTAATACTTAATGTCTTGACCCATTTGCTTTCATGGTCATCTTCTGTTCTCTCTCCCTCCTCTTGTCTTTTGCTGTAAAGTTTTTGTATTTTGCTTCCAATTCTTCCTTTATTCCCATCCCCTCTTGCATCAGTGGCTCTCCCAGTCTCTCTCCATCTCTTCTCTCTTCTTTGTAACTCTTTCTAGGGAGCCCAGCTCGAAATTTCTTTTCTCTTTTTTTTTTTTGCCATGCCACCCACACTGTAGCTCTAAGATCAGTGTTGGCTGCACGATCAGAGGAACGGTTCCTGGGACAGAACTGCACTCAGGCTGTTCTATTAGTGCGTACTAGCTTGTGTCAGCTATTGCACCTTTTTTTTTTTTTTTTAGCTCTCCATTCATGACAAAGCAGCATTTAACACCAAGCAAGCCAACACACAGTCCAGATTGAGTAGGTAACTGTGACAAGCCTCCACTGCAACCATAAATAGTTTGGAACAAAAAAAAGATTTATCAACCAATAAACTGATTGGGAAAGAGTACTGATGGCTATAATAGGCCTCCTAATATCTCACATTCTGGCAGTTTTACAGGTAATAGCATGTGTTCTGCAAATGTGACAAATAAAGCAAAGTTTTTCATTTTTGGGAAGGTATCTGAAGACTTCATATAACAGCGGCCACATTTTTTTGTTGGTTTCTTTAAAGCCATCATCATAAGGTGGGCTGAGTGAAATGAACCAAATGCAGGAAAAAACAACCTCTCTGTTTTTCTTTTTACTTACTAACATTATAGTGGGTCTGCTGTGAAATGTAGCGTTGCTGAACACAAGCGTAATAAAGCCAGCCAACTAACTCAGCAATGTTAGTGTCTACACAGAAGGTAACCAGGAAAAAAAACGTAGCTAACATTAGCCACCACAAGCTATTGGTCATTCTAGAGCTGTTAAGCCTGTAGCAGCCAAACCCTGTACTGCACTACAGTACTGAACTGACCAACAGTGTGTTTGTGCTTATGGACTCAGTTACGGTGTCACAGTAGTTTATTTTCAGTTATTATCATTATAGATATTTTTGGCCACTTGGGGGCAACGAGCTGAAAAACCCACTCCTCTGCCATATTATTGCTGTAACAATGTGTTTCTGGCTAACGTGTTAGCAAACATTTGCTTATACATCCAGCAGATACAAAGTTTGCCTTCATTTGCAGTCGAGTCATGTGTTCGGCCAACGGACAATTTAAGTCCAATATTCACCGCCTTTTTAGCTCTGTTCTGCTTTCTACCAACTCCTGGGGGAAATATCTGCCTCGTTAGCAGCTAAATACTCCACCATTTTCACCAGCTAGCCGCTAATGTTGCTGTTGCTGGGAAGGTAGCTTACGGTTTATCAGAGCCTTTTTGCTAACCACTCAACCAAGGCAATGAGCTAACAGAGGCTAAAAAGCTACTTAAAGCTGCATGAAAGTGTTCCCTGCAAGCCCCCTTTCTTTGAAAGCAACAACCCCCCGAACTAAAGAGCACATGTACAGACATGCCTTCATACATAAAAACAAAACCGAGGGAACAGAGCTTTCCTCCTTCGTGTTGTGCTCGCTCTCCCCCGTTTTCTCCACCTCATCTCTGCCTTTCCCCCAGAGGCCCTCCTCTAGACGCACACACCACATATCTATCTTTCTCCATCGGGAAGCTGTTAAATGGGCATAGCCGGTTCCCTCTCCAGGGAGCGTACAGGGGGGGGGAAGGCTGGGTAGCAGCGAGAGGTGGAGGATAGTGCTTAGCAGACTGTCGAAGAGCCCCAGCAGCCACCCAGCACTGCTGTGATGGGAGCTGTCTGATGGGACTTATTACCACAGCAGCTCATGGCACTGTCTGTGTTCAGAGAGTTGATGAATAATTGGAGTTTGGGAGTAGGAGCAGGTGTGTTGTGTCCTATGCTGTTTGAATTATGGTTCTTCAAAGCGTTCAGAGTTTTCTTACACAAACTTGGCAATTAAAAGTACATACAATCACACTGGTCTTGTTAGGGACAGTATATTTGATTTACTATATTTGTTGCTTTATGAGAACGAAGGTCCCTGAACTTAAATGTACTACAAGGAGTTTTTAAAACAGTCTCAATTTAATACTGATGGTTCTAATATGACTTACCTTTTAAACAAGACCATGAAAAGATTTTACATTTCAATTATTTTTGGTCACATTCCCATGAATCAGATGAAACAATGCATTGTGTGTGTGTGTAGCACATCGACCCGGGGTGCTGGAGGAGATTATTCATAACTTGGACTACTGTGACATCCTGGTGTTGGGGGAGGAGCTGATGCCGGAGCAGGAGTCCCTCCAACTGCAGCGCAGCACTCTGCTCGGGAAACATCTCGACGCCACCAACTCCACCTCTGGCATGTCCATATATGGTAGGTTACTATGGTAACCACACCAAAGTTACTTGTGGTGTGTTCTTAGCCAGTTGGTCACCATGATAACAACACTTGGTCCACTGCTACTATTGTAACAACAGCAACTCTCCCTTTGACACGTCCATAGATTCAGTTCAACCATCCACCATGTTATTTCTATCCTCCACCTTTCCCCTTCTCTTTCTCTTTCTCTACATAATCATCTCTAACAACCCTCTGCTGTCCCTGCCTCTTTCCAAAGGTGTGGACTCTATGTCCAACTATGAACAGGTGATCCGACAGGTGCGTTACTATAACTGGCGGCCCGGACAACTAACAGAGAGAAGGTTTCGCCTCACCTGCTCAGAGCTCAACGGACGCTATACCAGCAACGAGTTCAACCTGGAGGTCAGTGTGAACTACAGCTTGACTGATGTGGGTTTTTAAAGGTCAACAGTGATGCAGATTTATCACTATATGATACAGTTTTTAGAGTGTAAATGTTAAATACATTCAGTATCTTTTAGAGGTTATAAATTATGCAACACTGCTTGACAGTAAGACCATACGAACATTTTTAAATGGTATTTGAGGCATCACCAACATAATTTAAGTCAATGCAGCTATCCGTGTGCTTTCAGTTTAGTCAGCTTCATGTGACATATTGGTGGAAATAAAGATGGCAGATCCAACCCACCTACCCGCACTTTAAGATACATGTTCCAAGCACTCCTAAAAGGAGTGCAAATGTAAGAAGATGTCTTTAGGGCTGACAAGTAGCTCTAACGTAACAGACGTTGTTGCCAAAAAGGAAAATGTTTTAAAAAGTCATTAATATCACTTTTGATAGTCAGCAATAGTAATAGTTGTCACGAGAGACAATACTGCCTCATACAGCTAACTGAACCAAAGTGTTTGAACTGGCAAAGTGAGTGAGCTGACTCAGCTTGGGTGTCTGGCAACACTTTCATTCTCAGAGCACATTTAGAAATGAACTGCAGCAACCATTCCAGTAGCATCACTTTCACCCTTAGTGGCAATACGTCTCTTGGAAAACAGCAACTGAAACACGACACACAAAAAAACCTCTAACTCGATATGCAATTCCACACTCAGGCTCAATTTAATGAAGACTGTTTGATGAAAATTTTATGAACAATCTGTTTATTACCCTCACTCCAAAACAACCGAAGACCTCAGATTTTGGTGCATAAGTACACCTTCGACAGCAGGTAGACACACACCGCACAGCCTGGTTCAACATATAAAAAGAGGACATGCTTCAACATTGAGCACTTCTCCTAAAGAACAGTTTGACAGTGAATCAGGCTGCTCTGGCAGGCAGAAGCATTCACACGCACTCCACCTGTAATACATAGCTCTTATGATGAATGCCAAAATCAGCTCAATGTATCACTGTTTGTTTCTGTCACTGGTCTGTTTGACTTATTTATACATTCTCTGTGTTTACTTGGAGCAAACAAAATGTTTCACCAGACATAGTTTGAACCTTGGAGAGCGTCGACGAATCTAGTTTACATTTCACCTTCCTTCCTGTAGCTGACCTTGTCCCCAATAGGTATAAATACGTTCACTTTCTCATTTCTCCTGGACTCACTCTAAAATCTTTACTTTATACCTGTCTGGAATATATAATCTGTATGAGACTGAATGGATTCCAAAATCATCACTTCTCCTCCATCTGTTCCCAAACAGGTGAGCGTGCTGCACAGTTCAGAATCCGGGGAACATGTCAATCACATGGTAGCGCCACCTCAGTACATGCAGGTGGTCCATCATCCGTCCATGATACATGACCTGTACCCCAACCACAGCTCAGGTAAGAAAACACATACTAATTTAGAGTCTCTAAGTCCTCCATAAACTAATTGTCTGGTTTATTATTTAATGTGTTCTATTCTCAACCTGGTATATTAAAGGTTTAAAAGTCCTCACTTATTTGAACAGAGTGAATATTTCTCACAATAATATTCAAAGTATTTTATCACAGAGCTATGCCCAAATAATAATTTGAACAGGAAAAAAAGGTTCAATGTGAAACTAATCATAGGAGAGGAGGGATTGCTGTATTGGAGTACAGTGTGACTTTTCATAGGTGGAAACTGCTCAAATTGTACAAAAAGTAGCCCTGATTTTCACAACCTGTCCAAAACAAATTTTAACTGCACACTAAAATGAAAAAGTTGCTCAAATGGGCCACCTAATCTAATGCTCTGGGGTAGAATGAATACGTTTTTCTCCGTCCAACCTCAATCACAAGCTTTTCACCACCAACCTGCCTTTTCTTTGCACCAAATATTTTTAAAGGTGCCATTTCACATTCAGGCAACAAAGTTGCTAACTTCAGCTAGTGGGTAAAAGATGACAGGTAATGTTATGTGAGAGCAATGTGTGACTTTCAAGCAAAATTCTGTTCTGGGTCCAGATTAAATAGTATTGCCTTTGAATATGTGGGATTTAAAACACTGGTATAAAAGGCAGGTTTTGGTGTTTGCTGCTTTTTCTGCCAAAAGTTTTTTTCCCCCTTTTTTTCAACTTGAAACTTGTGTTCCGAGTAAGACCCATGACTCATGCTTTTTCTTGATGCCTACTGTCACTACAGCTGAGTTTATGCCAATGCTTTAGAGGTTGTCAAGCAGCATTCTGGGAAATGTAGTAAATGTCCAACCAAAGTAAAAGCATCTGTAGACAACTTGAGCTGGGAGAAAGCAAGTACAAACAAAAAGTGTATTACAGTACATAATTATGCAATTTGTAAAGCATTAACAATGTTTATTGGCAGTGCCTCCAGGATTTCGTGGGTTTTTTGGGGGATTATTGTGACTTAAGATGCCTGACTTATTGACAGCTTTTTAAAACTTGCGATGCATGATGTGATGTTTTGGGAGATCTTTTTGCAATGAAATCATAGGAGAAAGTAAATATGTCATAAATAGTTGACAGTTTGATGGTCAGACTGTTTGGACAGGAATGTGAGATGTTAGCCTTCCTGTCTGCATGGTCTGCATCTTCACAACTAGAAACAGAGTGAGTCTGTACAGGAAGCTACACTGATTAGTCAAATCTGTGTGAAACATTGCGCACTCACTGGGATTGGTTGAATTTAATTGTTGTGATCGCAACAACTTATTACTTGAGATTCAACAACCGTTTTCTGATATTACGCCACAGTGGTTACGGGTTGGTTAGGTTTAGGCACAAAAAGCATCTTGGTGTTGGGTATGTTAATGTGTGAATTGTCACATATACTAATAGATAATCTGTTAAACAACTACAGACAAAGCGAAACAGTTGAAATATTACAAATACTCTACAAACTATCTCTGGGTGGAGTATCCAAATAAAGGGTTACCACGATGTAAAATAAGATTATCTGAAGGTGGAAAGGGTTGCTTTTAAAGACAACATGAGTAGATATGACTCTTCTGGCACACTATAAAATATATGTATATATATATATAAATATCTAAACATACATTTTGAAAAATGCAAATGATGACTTGACAAAACAGTGATTGGCACTTGGAAACGCTCACAGATGAAGGGAGAACTGCTGGGAATCAGGCCCAGTTGTATAAAAAAAAGAAGAGAGGCTGTGAAGAGTTTTTATGTCAGCTATCCATCCTGGGGTGAACATGGCTGGATCCAAGGGAACGCTCTGGTTTTGCTTTCTAGTTTGTTTATCGTTCCGTTCATCAGACTGCTGTTCTCGCACAGAGGTCCTCAGTGAAAGAGAGCAGTGTAAACTCCCTCTCAAATGATGCAGCAGGCTTATTATTCCCCCCCCCTTGGTGAATACCAGTCATCTGAAGTAAAGAGAACATGTTGAGGAGAGAGACATTGGTCTTAATCTACCACACCATATTTAATTATTCATCAGACTCAACAAAACTAATGGATTCTACTTAGAGTCCTGGAGAGTTCAGTGGCCAATGCTGTTAACAGCCCAGAGAGTTGGGAGGGGTGTGTGTGTGTGTGTGTGAGTTTGAAAAGGAGGTCAGATGAGCAGAGAGGGTGGTGGGTGGTTTCAAATAAGGAATAAATGTATGGCAAAAAATTTATTTAAAAAAAAAAGATCTTCAGTCGCACTTTCTGCCATGATGTGTTTTTAGCAAATGTGAGTGTGTGTTTTAGATGATATCATGCTGTATGTGGCTTACAAAGTAGAAGGGAAATGTCAGTGTGTGTGTGTGTGTGTGTGTGTGTGTGTGTGTGTGTGTGTGTGTGTGTGTGTGTGGTGCACGCATGAAACCAAGTTACTCTGAGGGGCTGCACAAAGCAGCACTGCGAGGAAGATCAAAGGCCGTGGATTTAGTGTGAAAATCTAGGGAACTAGACTGAATCAAATGATCATCTGAAGAGTCCTCTGTGAGTCTCACTCTCGTTAAACACACACACACACTCACTCACACACCAACAGGGACTAGTGGAGAGAGGGCAGGCACAGAGAAGTTGTGTTATCTCAGTAGGCTGGAGATCAGAGCAGAAGAAATAAACATTTTAGATCAAGAGAAATCCCTCAACGTGTGTTGTGGTTATGCTCCTAAATAGGGCTTATGATACATCTTTGCAGGCGTGTACTGCTCTGAGACCTAAATTAAATGTGTTTAAGTTTTTTTATATATATATATATTTGAAACAATCTGTAGTTTACACACGGCTCAGTTATATCCCTCCTGCTTTTTTTTTTTTAGCTCATATTTGTCTGAATGCAATCGAGTAGGCCTTGGACCCAGATTCAACTAAAAGTTTAAACATGAGGCAAGTTATTGTGCTTTCTTCTGTACACCGGCAGCCATGAGAGTTACACTGAGCCAAGTTTAAAAATCGCACATGTTGAAATACAGAGCAAGTATCGGGGGCAATCTACCACGTTTTTTTCTTGCACATTTCTTTCACTGATGACAGAATAGGTGAAAACCTCTGGTAGGATTAATGTAGTCAAACATCATATTTGGATTCATATGTTACAAACATTTAAAGGTACAGTATGTAACATTTAGGAGGATCTATTGACAGAAATTTAATATAATATTCATAGGTATGTTTTTATTACTGTATAATCACCTGAAAAAAAGAATCATTGTGTTTTCTTTACTTTAGAATGAGCCATTTTTATCTATATAATGGAGATAGAGAAGAGGCATGTCCTCTTCTACCGAGTCTGCCATGCTGAACCGCTCACAAGAATGGCACAAAATAATTAAATGATATAGATCTTTTAAAATCTTAAACTTTTCCAAATTTTACTGGACTGAATTGATCCGATTTGGATCATACAAAGAGCCATTTCAGGGTATTTGTGACCAGGCACATCGCTACACAATGGTGCTATAGCAACGTCACAGTCAAGCATTTTCGTATTGTTAAATAAAGAAATATGTAAAAGCTAATAACCAGCAATCATGTTCCCAATCCCATCCGATAAATGTACCTCATGCTGTTGTCGCATTTTGGACGTATTGTGTTGTTATTAATTGTGTCTGTACTTGTCACTTATACTAGTCACTTGTTTTAGACTTATAGCTGTCTTGTTGAATATTCTTGTCATGAAAATTTACTATTTTCTCAGCACCCCACGTATTGGTCAAGCTCTGCCTTAGCAGTGGGAGAGATAAAATCCTGGTGCCTTCCATGTTTGTGACACTCGAACCCATGCATGGATTTACAGCCACTCCTTTTGTAATGACATGGAGAAAAGTCTTTTGGGCTAGTGATGAGTCACATGATCCTGTTATACCAACTGTAGCCACTACACCAAAATCGCCTCACAGCCCAAAGATGTTACTCAAGGCTTGGCTCACCATGACAATGCTAAGATGCTGGTGTTACGCAGGTATAATGTTTACCATGTTCACCATTTTAGTTTTGTGAGTTAGCATGCTAGCTTTTGTTAATTAGCGCTAAACACAAAGTACAGTTGAGGCTGATAGGAATATCATCCAACCAGAGTATTGGTCGAACTGAAATTTTAAATGCAAGGTGCTGGCTTGAGCACCGGGAGCAGTTTGGTGTTCAGTATCTTGCCCAAGGACACATCGACAAGTGGACAGGAGGAGCTGCAGATGGAACCACCAACCGTGAGATCAGCGAATGACCCGCTCTACCTCTTGTGCCACAGCTGCCACAACTCAAAGTTTTTACCTGACAATGGCACTCATTGGAGAGTCAGGGGATCAACAAAGTTATTACAATTCATCCTGAGGGGGACATGAATGTCTGAACAAAATCTCATGGCAATCCATCAACAGCTGTTCAGATATTTCAGTCTGGCCCACAGTGATGGACAGACTTACACACTGACAGACTGATGTGTCCACCCCTAGAGTCATGCTGCTGGCACGGCTAGAAAAAAAGGTATTGATCAGTGTTGTCACAAAAATTCAGTGAAAGCAGGCCAGTATTGCCAAAAAATGACATTATACAAAAATCAATAGGCTGTCACAGTAATTAAAGATCACAATCATCAACATAGTGCCCATCGTACTTAAAGGTTATAAAGGCCTCTCGCACAATAACATAAGAAAGAAAATAAAAAAATCAATATGCCATCACAAAAGGCATTCAATACCCAAGGGACCAGATAACCATAAAAACAGTTAAAAAAAAAAAAGGCCTTAACTACAACAACACGAGAAAAACAATACATTCATCTACAGCCTGACTGAAAACAGCCAGCATTACTTGGGCTTGGAAAGGCTGTGTGAAAGACGTAGGCAGGGATGGTCTATATATATACATATATATATATATGTATATATATATGAATTTTAGCATAGTAACTTATTGAGGCAACTTTGGGATGATTGCTATGCTTTTTCCTGCTCCTTTTTCCAAAGATCAGCCCGAATTCCATTTCGCTCACCTCTCACTCTCCTCTCTCGTCTCAGGCGTGCCGAGTGCTGCCACCGTGGTAATTGTGATGTGTATCGCTGCTCTGGTGGTGGTTGTGGTGCTGGGCATCTACCGCATCCACCTGACCCACCAGCAGGAGGTCAAGCTAGCAGAGACAGCTAAAGAGGCGGACGTGACCTGGGACGACTCTGCTCTGACAATCACAGTCAACCCGATGGAGGTAGGAGGGCGGGGGATTGGAGGAGTGTGGGAGGATGCTGTCAGGGAGGGGAAAAGGGGGATAAATGAAATGGACTTGGTGTTAGTGACTGGAATCTCCATTCTCTGCTTTCACATTAGGAATTAAATGAGAATTACTTTGATTTCTTGCTTTCAAAACTCATTTCTGATCATTTGGTTTCTGGAACTCTTTGAATATTTGTCACCACAGAACCTGGAGGAGCCCCAGGCTGCAGAGGAGGAGGCCAGCGAGGAAGAGGAGGAAGAAGAGGAGGAGGAGGACGACGACGACGACGAAGAAGAGGAGGAGGATGACATCACCAGCGCTGAGTCAGACGACAGCGAGGAGGACGTGGACGTCCAGCTACCCAGGATGCAGCGCCAGAGCAAGAAGGGCCAAAACTGGGACAAAACAACAATATCTTATTGAAACACACATATTCACAGTCACTCACACACACACACACACACACACACACACACACACACACGCACACACACGCACACACACGCACACACACGCACACACACGTCCATACTGAAACCTCAAATCAGTTGGTTGAAACAAAAAGACTTTATGTGATGTTGATGCTCTAAAAATGAGGTCATATCTCCCCCTACTGGAAGAACACACACACACACACACACACATAAACAAACACACAGAGCAATGATTTAACTTTAGCCTTGTCAGAAAACCTGTTTTATACAGCTGATAAAAAAATAATCACACTAAAACTGCTCGTCAATCAAATGGCTATCATCCTTCTTAAAGGGACAGCTTGCAAAATTTAGGTCATCCCTGAAAGCTGTTTTTTCCTCCAGTGATCTCTCTCCCATTCCAGTCTAAACCACAGCTACGATCTGTAGTGAAATAACGTTGTTTGAATCCCATTTTTGCGACTACACTCTGCAACCCACATTCAGTTTGATGTCTCAAATTCCACAGTGAGAATTTTGAAGTTCCATGAAAATGCAAAACAGTCTTTATTTAAGAAAACTGAGTTGCAAACGACTATTTTTGGTTTGTATACTTCATGTTGTTTATCAGTCTTTATTCTAGCCTATGTGGCAAAGCCAGGTGATTTTACAGAAATAGCATATTTTCAATGGTACTCAAAAAGAAACAAAAAAAAAAAGATCTGTGTGTAGTCATGCTGAACTAGCCAGGGGGTTCTGAGTTCTGGGTTTTCGGGAAAGACAGAGGAGTCTCCTTGTAAATTTTTATACACTCCTTTCTTGTAAATAGTGAGTATAGTAGGTGACCCACCCCACCCCTTAACACCACTTCCTCCACCCAGAATCCCCCTCCTCTCCACCTGTACACAACAAACATGCCACCTCCTCATATGTATGTATGTACCCTGAACCCTTAGCCTGCAGGAGTCTTTACTGAACTGACCCCTCAGTCCTCTGTGTGTGTTTCTAGCTCAGTGTTCATATCATTCCAGCTGACTGCGAGTTGGGTTTGTTAGGATGGATGTGCCACTGCCTTCATAGTGACTGGGTCAGTTAAAGCTGCACTAGGCAAGATGTTTGTGTAAAGAGGCACCGGTCTTACACATCATACAGGAGGGATGCAACAGAGAAAATATTCCCCTCACTCTTCATATAAAGCCTGCAAGACTTGCCCAAATTAGATTTTAGTCTCAGGTGTGGTCACGGCAGCTAGGCCCTGAACAGGAAGCACTCATTGAAAATAAGCGTCACTATTAATTCCAATCCTACTAGTCATTCATACTGCATTGCAGAGAGGTGAAAAATTCACATTTCTATGTAGGGATGTGCAATGGGACTGGCTCTTTATGTTGGAATTTGAAGTAGCAAAGTCAGTAGATGCACGTGACCAATACTGGATTTTGGATGTCCAATACCAGTATCAATATTTTAATTTTAAAAATGGGATCATTATTATACTTTTATTACAGTGAGAGAATATTAGAGTGGAACATTTTAGAGTAGAAAAATAAACATCTCAAAATATAACACTACACACAAATCAACAGAACATTTAAAAAAAAACATCACTGGAATAATTATTATAAACAAATTCAACAAAAAAGAAAGGCTCAAATATGTAAGAATGCACCCTATTTTTTAATACTAAACTATAACTATAATAAATTATATATAAATATAATAAAATAAAAATTAACTAAAATAATTATGTGTTGTGTTGGCAAGCCTGTATGATGAACATTAAAGCTGCACTAATCAATATTTTTATATTCACAATGGCTCAAATCACTACATGTAAAATGAGAGGTAGTAACGAACCCAGAGAGTTTTCAGCCAACTCTGAAGTTCCTCTCAACTCTGCAGAGAGTTTTAATGTCTTTTAGGTCATTGTTTTGGTTTTACAACTAGCAGCTTTATTGTTTTAGTTCAGTCTCATCGTTTAACTTAATGTCTAGTAGCAACAGCCGCTGTTTACAGTGAGAAAGCTCTGATAAAACCACTGTACAGCAGACCCACAAAGTTAGCAACTAGCTGGTGAATATAGTGGAGCATTTCACTTAGCACTTAGCTAAAGAGCTGAAAGCAAAGTGAATATTGGATTTTGGACGTTTGCCAGATTGGCTGGTGATGTCAGTGTTGTTTTCATATGGTTAGGCTGCTCTCAAGTGGAAAAAAATATTGGGCGCCCCAGCCAAAGTACAAGTCATTTTCAGATCATCATCAGCACCACATTGTGCCACTCAGCATTCCTTTTATATCCATAATCTCCTAAAGTACCTTTATTTGATCAATTTCATTCCAAAAGTAGCTAGCTAATCGTGCCAGACATCACTGACACCGCTGTTCCATGTGTAGGCAAGGAAAACTTACTTTTCCTGTTTGTTTTCTTGGATTAGAAGAATGCACAGACACTGCAGTTACACTTTCAAAACTTCTACTTTTGGATGAAATGCAGCATTAATGAAAGCCATTTAGTTCTAGGGCTGATGTCACATTACATAAATCCCACTTCATTAGCAGCACCGGGGGCCACCGAATTGTGAAGCTGCCTGGTGCAACTTTAAGATAAAAGGACCGAGAAGTGAAATACATTTGGCAGTGTCACATTTGACGTAATCAGATAACCCAGTCGAAGGTTTCTTCACCTTGAAGTGAAAGGGCATTAATCTCTGTGGCCATCCCGAATCCAGTCTGCCTGTAACGTTCGATAGCAAACAATCCACAAACAACAGAAAGTCTTGTTACGTGTGGCTGATAGTAACAGTTGGCCGCCGATGAATCAAAGTTTGGTTAAAGTCACAAACACTGGAACGTTTCCTCCTCTAACCTAGTGAGCCTTTGACAGCTGTCCTGTGGGTGTAGCTGTGGGAGAACCTACTGTATGTGTATACTGTAGCTCTATGTTCATGTAAAGATCTCATATGTTGTTTAAGAGTTTCCTCATCTACTGTGACACCTAGTCTTGTGACGTCACCTCCCTCCTTGCACCCCCCCCTTTTCCCACTGGAACCCTTGTTGGATTTTGCATCAGCCCGAGCCCTAATGTTGTCCTGACGTTTGTTTTAGAAGAGGAGGACGGTGAAATTAACATGGAAACCTTGTATAATGTGTAAAAGTTTTTTGTTTTTTTAGTTTTCTTTTTATTTCTGGACTCTTTGGTCTGTTTTCCTTTGGAATGGTCACTACAGCACTTTCTGTAAATTGGCCAATAAAAACTTGTTTTGGAATCTAGCTGTGGGTCTCGTATTTATGCGACAGTGGGTGGTTGTGTTTGTGTGCGTGTGTGTGCGTGTGTGTGTGTGTGTGTGTGTGGTGTTGCTGAGATTTCCCTCCAGTATTGCATTATACATGTAACTACATTTGAATTTTTAGTCTATTATCTGATTGTGAAAGTTTAGAATCTTGTTATAAAAGTGGAAAAACTGCAATTAGTGTGGAGAAATGTGTTCCAATTATTAATGCAGAATGCAGTTATGTTTTGTACATTTCTGAAGTTAAAGATCCCGTTAGTGATAATATTATGTAGAAAATATTGTCTTTAAAACCTTGTTTTAGAGTCATATGGGGGGGGGACTTGAAAATGTTTATACTAATGTTCTGTTTTTACAGAGTCTATTTGCAACAGGATTTGTTCTAACTGAGTGCCGCAAGCAATTTTTGAAAATTTCTCTAAAGACATTAATTGAATTCAATCATCCATCCACTCTCTAAACTACTTATCCCCTCCAGGGAAGGTGCGGCACTGATCCCCACTGGATTACTTTTTATTCCTTCATAAAAGACTCGGTAGCGTTTCAAAATGGCCATACAAGCATGATAAAGCCAGCAAACATGAGGAAGTTGTACAAAATGTCATTAACAGTGTGTTTTTTTCCCTCTGCCCTGTTATACCAAGAGCCTACTGTGTTGGGTTTTTTATGTTGTTATTTTTTGCACACACACAGTCAGGCTGGCAGTGGTTATTGTTAGTTTTACTGTTATAACTTATAAGGTAAATCCATGGAGCCACAGCAGGGGGGCTCCCACAGGAGAAATAGGCTCAGTGGAAGTGCTTGCCAGACACAAATATGGATATTTCACTAGAAATCAAGGATAGCAGCTAGCCAGCTTTGTTGAGTCAGTCACAGTCACAGTCTTCCAAATATTTTAGAATACAATAAGGCCAACGTATATAGAAACACATTATTGGACATGTTTCGTCTTTTTAAGAAGAAAAAGTTTGGTTTCTGTGCTGCCTTTTTGTGGCTGCTCTGTCTAATCTTAGCATAAAGACCAATGCTGCACTATTACATCACATAGAACCTACTGTGTGCATGCTGTGTTGGGATTGTGGTCTTTTTAACTGTTCCTAATGAGCAGTTTGGAAACATGAACAGATCTATAGGGCTGTGTGCTCTCCATGGTCCTGAAGTGCTGTTCAGCACCACAGACAGCGACACTCTGTACCATTGTAATTGTTTGGGTGGTATTGTTCTTCATTTGCTGCGTCGCTGCAGAGATGGTACTGGTCCATCTGGGCTATGGTGCCTATTCTAAATTTGAGGGATTACAACTCCAGGAGGCTTTCTTGTATAAACTTTATGTTCAAAACAGTAACGTTTTTATGGCATGACAGACGGGGAAGGATATTTGCAGAACAGTGTGTGTGTGTGTGTGTGTGTGTGTGTGTGTGTGTGTGTTTGTAGGTCTATTAATGTGAGGACCAATTTGCATCTTAGACCTTGGAGCAAAGGATATTTTTGGCTCCAAAAAAATCTAACTGTTGTTTGTTTCTGTGGTGATTCACCAGCATCCACAATTAGTTTTATTTTTCCCACTTTGAGCAGCTCTTTTACTTCCTTTGTTCCACAGTACAATGCACAAAGCACATCAACAGCACAGTCTTAAATCAAAGTTGTTGTTTTTTATGCCTTCTGACTATAAAACAATCTGCTTAGAATGAATAAGAAGAACTGAGAAGAAAGTGAAGATAGCTGTAGTGCAGGCCTGGTGTGTTTGTCTGCCAGTGCTGATAGATATTATTGGGAAATGCAGTTTTTAAGTATTAAGTTTGTTGATTGTGTTTTGTTTAGTTTTTCATTGAAAGTAATCAATATTGTGGTTCCTTTGAAGCATCTTTAGTTTCTAAATAGGTTTCTGTGTGTGTTCTGCCATGTGTTAGCAAGACGGGAGTTAGAGTAATTAAAGATAAATTATGTTTCTATGTTAGCTTTTCAAACTTACTGGTACTACAGCTATATTCTTTAATTTGACAGATTTTTTACATTCACTTTTCATAGAAATATCTTCACATATAATTTTAAATAAAATTAATATTAATGTTTACGTATTTTGTAGTTTACAAACACCAGCAGTCATTTCATTTTCAGTCAAATACACCACTAAAAGTGTCTTTACTGGAGCCTCATACTGTGTTAAAGACTGCTGGGACTTTGAGTCTGTGATCAATAGAATGTCTCTATCTAGTGGATATTCACTGTACTGCACAACCACACACCATCATTTCAAAGTCAGTGTTGAATTCTGTTAATGTTTTACAGTCACACCTCAGCTCTCCGAGTCCTGCACTATTGTTTTCACACTCTTTGTCACAACATGCAGAGGTGTTATTGATCTAGTTTATGTTTTCAGCCATGAGCATATTAGGGATTTGCATGTTTTTTGAGAACCTCGCATTACTAAAACCCCAGTAGCTGTTCTAAAATCAGTGTAAATGATGGCCCGAGAGGCTTACTGCTTGCATAAACTGGCGGCAACACACCAACTCAATGTAAAAGAATTTAAATATTCATAAAACTTTTTATTTTCCAGGGTAGAGGAGTAGAGCAGGGGGAGCCCCAGGCACTGTCACCTTCACTCGCAACCCACAAACAAAAAATAGATTCTGCATAAAAATCCTTCACTCCGTCAAACTACTCCAGTGTAAATATCTGTAATCATACTCATTTAATTATCATTTTCTTTCTTATTCGTCCCAGTTGTAAAGACACCAAGCCAGAAGAAGATGGACATATTGTATGATGCCTCCTTCTTGTCATTGTCACTTGAATGATGGCAGTCAGTCCCGTCAATCACAGCTGTATCCTGCAAGTGGAAGTTGAGGCAGCAGTATATAAATAATGAAGTCCAACTTGCCTCAAACAGAAAGAAGAGTACATTTATTCCCATATACATTATTTATCATGTTTCTTTTCACTCCAAGGCAATTGGGCTGATGCTAAAGCCTTAATTGTAACCTTGAAAAATAAAAGCAGCAGTGATGGAAGAGCAACAAATGCAACTGAGGGAATGTGAGGATTTAGACACTGATTGATTTGCATAAACACAGGGCAGATCCACTCGCTGAGAAATCCAAACCTTGTGGTAGTTTATTTGGATGAAGATGAAGCTGAGATGTGAGCATGGAAGTAAAAACAAAAGCCATAGATGGAAGCAGAGCTGCTTTCCCTCAACAAAACACAGCCAGTTGTGTGATATGTATGTAAGTAAAAGCAGATGTTGACACAGTGGTGGCTGGTGTGCAAAGGATTTTAAAGGCTCAAACCAGTGAGCCTGTGCACACTGGAGTCCAAAGCCAATGCAGCAATCCATGGCCTTTAAAGCCTGCCAGTGTCCTAGAGCATGATACCAATGCTCAGCAGAGACTGTTTTATGCAATAGGTTTAGAACTGGTGATAATTAACATTCAAACAGATAAAATAAAGAAATGTGTTCCAGTAAAAAAAAGAGTTTGAAGCATTTGAAGCAGAATTATGAATGTGTTTTTAGATTCCACACAAAACAGGGGAAGAGACAGATTGCAAGTACATACAGTATATTTGCAAAGAAAACATTATCATGCGAACAATGATAGAACTTCAGCCAACAAAAACCCAATAGGCGCACAATAATATCCTCTCTCACTCCGTTTTACTCTGCCTTCTCTCTATATTCCTGCATGCTCGCTCAAGCTTACATTGTGTCCATACTTTACCAAATGCAAACCTTTTATGCCTTCACTCAATTACAAAATGTTTGGTTATAAGAGTAGGGACGTATAGGGAGGCAGTGGGAGAGTGGTAATCATAATAGAGTTAGGATGTGGGTGGAGCTGCTGTTCCTGTAAATGTTTCCCCATTCTGTATTACCGTTTCAGATTTTTCTTTAAACGAACTCATGGAAACACAGGACTCTCCCTGATAATGTAACAAACTAAATACTCTAAATACTATCAACCATCAGCTGCTCTGTACAAGAAGCCAGTCAGAGGAACAAATGAGAGCGGTAGTGAATTCAAAACGCCTTGTAGTTGCAGTTGTGAACAAAATCAGATGGCATACTGTAGTTGCTGAATTCCTTGATTGTATTTTGTCATTTTTAGCTTTTTAGCTTTAGTTTCAAGCACACCTTAGTAATCTTAGTTAACTAACTTGTTGCTTTCCAGGGAATTTAAAAGTAAAAATGATGAGACGGTTAGTATTGTGTGGACAATGGTTAACAGTTATTATATATACTTCCACACATAATAGACAAAAACGGCTGTATGAAGTACACTTTATGTGCTTGCGAAGTTTGAATGTGCAAAATGTCCAATCACGTACTCACATGCTCACATACAATTTAGGCACAAATATAACTTCACCTTTGCAAGAACCACAGACTCTGGCAGGTCCCTGCCCTGCTGCTGGGCTCCCTTAATGGATTGCATGTGATCTCCGAGCAGGACCACCTGGACCTGAACAATGGACTGAAAGACTTGCTGATCACCTGAAATCATCTGCTGGAACAGAAACCTGCAGAGGCAGCAGCAGCATGCGAAGCACAACTGTCAACAATTGGTAAAAAGATCATTACCTCACTCACCAAATATGCTCCCTAAGAACAGGAGTGCTGTCAGCTTCCCAGGAAAACAGGAGGAAATGGAAAACCACTTTGGAAAAAACACCATCATATTTGGCCTGAAACAGATAGAAACCAACACTTCACACAAAACAACAGTTACAAATTGAATATACTCTTCAAACTAAATACCCTAGAGCTTACTTAAAACCTCCAAAACAGCTCAATTTATTGCCAAAACCTCCCAACTCACTGACATGTCCCACTGCCTCGCTTGTAAAAAGTTTTTAAAACACCTAGAAAACTTTTCCACCTTAAAATGACATTTTACTGAGACTTTTGGTCACTATAATCTTAAAAATATTACCTGCAAGCTACATACAGTACGCTTAAACTAGCCAGTCATAGTCAAA